ACATGTCAATGGAAATAAAGGATTTGATCTTGATGTTCATAATATGAAGTTTATAGTTATTACTGACTGTGATGGGCAGTGCCCTTAGGGCTAATTGTTGAAGTTTCAATCATACTTCCGATCACACCACATTTATTGAGTTGAGGATTGCAGTGGCAAGTGGAGCTCACAAGTCTCTAACTCAAGGTAACTTACAGTTAGAATAAAGACACGGATTCCAAGACTAAATATAACAACATTTATTAGACCTTTCCACATAGCATACAATGTTAACAGCAGTAGTTAAACATTTATTAATCATTAGATCACTATAGCCAACATAATGACAATAGTATTACAAATTGTAATATTACCAGATAGCATCTTATAATGCAACCAAAACCACAGAATGTGTGGAATATCATGTGGTATCACACAGATTCAAATCTGGCTTGCCAGTTCCAAAGTCCAGAGCTCAAACAGAGTACAAACCTGTCCTCACCATGAATATAAGATGTGAGGTCATCATGGTTTTAAACTGGTACATGATCACCTACAATAAACTGTAACTGAGAAGTGTGGGAAGACTGTACTCTAGATAATATTCTAGAAACTCCAACAGTCATTTTTCTAAGCTCTCAAGGTTCTGTCATTTTTGTTTTATATTCATAGGTCATTTGATAAGATAAGATTAAAGGATTGTAATAATAATTGGAAGAAGTGGGAAAATAATTTTTTTTCATAAAACTATATTGATTAATAAACTGATATTTTGATTAGGTATTCTTTAATTTCTGGAACTGACATTACCAGAGAATTGAACCAATGGTTTAAAAAGTGGGAGCTTACATTGAGCCAACAATGAATCATCATGTTGGCCCAACTAAGGGCCAATGTCCAAATTGCCTTTGGGCCATCTTTGTTTGCCAACCTTGGGCCAATGTAACTAACAGTTTAGGATCAGCATTAGACCAGCCTTTATCTGCTCCCTGAGTTATCAATTTTCCAATAGACATTTACACTATAGTGGCCAGTGTAGCTTTTTCAGTGCCAATGATATACCTATAAACTGATTATCAACCAACCTTAATTGGTAAGCTATATAACAGTATGATTAGTAAACAGAATTCATGGACAGTAGCTTAGATATAATATGAACTGTAAACTTGTTGTACCCAATCTTTTATTTAGTTATGATAAGAATGTTTTCAATGAGTATACTGAAATATTTCATAACCACACAGTTTTCTGAACAATTTTCTTAATTTTGTTTCAGTATAAGGTGCAGTTAAAACACATGAAAATGTATGCTTTGAGTACTGCCTAGGTGGAAAGTAACACCTTCATAGTAAAAATTTGTAAATTGCACCTAGCTATTATTAAACTTGTACCTTGAAGGAAGCTCCAAAGGATTCTAATAGTTAGAAGTAGAAGTTGATGTTTTTCAGTTATCATGTGTAGGAACCAGGTGTTTGCATTCTCAACCCATTTCCTTTCCTACTGGTCTCGGACCCTATCCATGTGATAACCACATGGTAGTGAAAGAAATGCAACTGGGTTGGAAGGTAAGTTGTGTTGCCCATCAGGGACAACAGAGGGCAGTTCAACTATACACTGAGTGGTCACAAGTAAATAGACACCTAATTTTTCATCATTTAACTGATTTAT